AACTGAACTTTTTTTTTTAAAGATTTTACTTATCTATCTGAGAGAGAAAGAGAGCACATGAGAAGGGGGAGGGTCAGAGGGAGAAGCAGACTCCTGCTGAGTAGGGAGCCCGATGCGGGACTCGATCCCAGGACTCCAGGATCATGACCTGAGCCGAAGGCAGTCGCTTAACCAACTGAGCCACCCAGGCGCCCTAAACTGAACTTTTTGAAATGCTCTTTGATGCGGCTTCTTAAATTAGCCAGTGGCATAACTACGGTGTGGCTGCATGACTCTTAATCCCTGGCAGCATGGAGAATCACCGGGCATGTGGGGCCGCCAGGAAAATGGAACATTTTATATTTGTACCGACCATATTTCTTATATACAAGGATCTACTGTCAGAATGAGACGTGCAGCTTCAGTAAGGGACACAGGTGGCATCTCCCATTAACAAAATAACTACTGTCTGGAAAAGACCTTAAAATTTCTTCCTTTTACTCAGAATAGTTTTAAAATTATCTGTCAAAAGTGTTCAACTGGTTTTCCACTAAAGAGAGGGAAGTGGTGAAACCGCCCATTCATTTGCTTTTTGCTTTTTTGCTTTTACCTTTTGGTAATTCTCAAATTCTAAAAGTGTTAAAAGTGAAAAACATTATTTTCTTGTAGTATCTTCATAACTGTTAGATCATGAACCAAATCTGTACTTATTTAAAAAATAAGAGAAGCAACTCGTACTCATTTCGCTATTCACTAAATACCAGGCCCACCACACTGCACAGAAACCCACTAGGAAGGTTTCCATGTGAGAGGCATCTAGCACCTAGCACTCATCTTCAGAGAACTTCCAAAACGCAGATCACTTTCTCCTTGGGGTTGTGACGATCGTAGTAGTTCCGACATCCACTTGTTATCTTGGTATTTAGTAGTTGAAGAACATCCTCTGTAGAAATCTCACAGGCCACTTTGAAAGGTGAGGAACATGCCCCTTACTTTGACTAGTTGTACAATTCGGAATTCGGTATCACCCTTCCTAAATCAGGGAATAGTGTCATTATTTTTACGTATTTGGTATGGTTTTTCATGTAAAAGTATCTGAATCACAGTTGTGTCAAGACAACCAAAATGTTTTTAGGAATTAACCTGTGGTAAAAATGTTGTTTGTTTGTTTTTTTCCCATTCTGCTATCTGATTTTTTTTAAGTACTTAAACACTCTGAAAATACCTTATTTATTACTTTAGATGTATAGGTCTCTTTAACTACAATGTTGTATTTTTTTTAGAAGACTTGTTCTTCATTGTATATCCAGTCCCTAAAACAATGAATGATAGACACTTAATAAACTTTTGTTAAATCAATGAATTTTCAAGAAAATACAGTGTTTGTGCAAATTGAAAATCGTGCATTTATAAAAGTGTGATGTGTTGGAAAAGGAGCAAAAATTTCCAAGTACTGAACTGTCTATGTTGATATGAAACACTTAACCTCTAAAAATGTTGCATCCTTTACCATCAGAGTGATTTAGAAAGGGGATGATACTTTATGGCAGAAACACACATCTCTTAGCATTCTATGTTTCTTTAAGATGGAATTTCTCCAAAAACCACTGGAAAATGCAGTTCAGTTTTTCTTTCCAAACAGATCTTCAAAATAGATCACCGGGTGTTTTTCCTTACTTAGTCATCCTTTTTGTCAATGGAATATACAATCTTGTTTGGTGAATCTCAGAACTTTTCAAAGAGGGTCTGACAATATGGAATTTGAGTGAAAGATACCAAGCCTTCTAAATTTATTTAAACAAAAAAAGGAAGTGGATGAAAGGCTAATCTGTGCTCTACTCTGATTGGCTGCTTCAAATCTCAGGGCTGATTCCACTCATATTTTCTATAGAGACTACTGACCACCACTAGGAAGATTCTGGAAAGAGATTCTAGGATCCCATTTCATTTCTGCAGCAATCGCATGCTGCTAATTGTTAACCAGCCTCAAAATACTTAACAGCCTACCATATTTTGATAAAATAGTAGTAGTAATAGTGATAGCCTTATTGGGTCAGAGATAAAGATATAATGTGGCCCTATTGCCTATTATTTCCTTAAGCGTGTGTTGTTTTACTTTAGCCTTTTATACCAGTTCTGAACGACTGATTAACCTCCTAGTGAAGAAGAGGTATCCCATTGCCGCTGGCACAGCTGATTTGATTAAGCAAGGCACTGCCCATGTGTGGTTCTAGCAAAGAGCTGGAGATTGTGGGAGGAGCACCTTTCCAGACATATGGCTCCCGGCTGAATCAACGGTCTGTGGAGAGAGTGGCATGCCATTTGTCTTCCTTTCAGTGACAATGATGGCATCCATGTGGACCCCTGTCAGGGTGCTCTGGGTAGGAGAAGCCGCATCAGCATGGCAAGTCTGTGCTTGTCCACATTCCAGATGCAAAAATTCAGGTCTCGCGGTAGCGTGCGATTCCAGTGTAACGTTCCATGCAGTTTACTTTCATTGAGCCTTCTGATGTGAAATCCAAAACTGTGTGGTTGAGGTGCTTTTGCCAATAATATGCAGTTGTTTCTATCTCTGGATCTTTGTGAAAAGAAATGGGTCTTTGTGAAAGCTGTGTCTGTTTCGTTTCTATTTAAGTTTTTGAGGATTTGGAAAAAGTAAAACAATATTAAGGCATGTGGTCAGAGCATTTAAATATAAAAGGCAAAACCTTTTTTTGAAGTAACTCAAAAAGATATTACTCTTCAGTGATGTAGCTATCACTTTTAAATGTGTCACTTTGTGAATATTTGAAGTTTTAATGAGACCCTGTTGTCACATTCTTTTCCATAAATCTGATATTGAAAAAGGAAGGGATGAAAAATCATCATTCTTCTTGTACTACTGTAATTTGGTAATATTACACTTTAAAAAAAGCGATGCTTTTCCAATCTTCCAGATAGCCCTGAGTCACAAGGGTTTGATCGTTGAGGTCCTCTTTGCAGTAAATCAAGGGCAGGTGTAAGTGATGACCGTCCCCAGTTGTGTGTGACCTCTGAGTAGTCCCGCTCTTAAGCATCATATTCTGTGCGCAAGCCCAACCGTTACAACAGAGAGAGAAGACAGGACAGCCCCAATATTTATTTCTGGCTCTCCTGAAGTTGCCCAAGAAGCAACGAGCTTATTCTAAGAGTGACAGACATGGATCAGAAAGAGAAAAACCTAGACTCACCTCTCCGGGAAACTTACTTAAGCGTCAAATGGGCCTTATGTGTAGTTGGACTAGGCAGCTGCCCTCCAGGCTGCAGAGGTGCTAGGAACCCCCATCCTTTCTTCAGATCTCACCCCGGCCAGCAGCGCCACAGGCACTACCCGTCAGCCCTGCTCAGTGGTCCGTTTACAAGGAACAGGGTGGGGAGAGACTCCTACCTGAGTTTGAATCCTGGTTTCAGACCTTCGGACTCAGGGGTGACAAGCTATTAAACCTCTCAAAGCCTTGGAGTCCTCATTTGTAAAGGAGGATAAGAATCGTATCTGCCTCGGGTGATGGTAGAGACTACACAAAATAATCCCTTAGTATAATTCCTGGCACACGGTAAGAGCTCTGTAAATCTAAGCTGCTCATATTATGATGTTTATTATTGTTATTCCGTAGCTAAAAAAGCAATTGAAAGGCCAAACCGCCCCCCCTCCCCCCCGGGAGGCTAACACATTGACGTCACTGGTAAAGGGAGGGTCCTGGGTGCTTAACATGTGAGAAAATCAGAAAACGGAGGAAGAGCCGAAAGTAGAGGTGGGCCAAAAGAGACAGACCTTTAGGTGCTTTCTCAGGCCTCCTTATTTTGCTTAAAGGTCACTTCTTTTCCCAGCCTCAGTTAAATACAGTTTATATTGTCGGATTTTCATTTAACTTTTACAATTATAAATATGTCCTTATGTTGGACTCATCCTACACCATCTAGTCTGGAACAATATCTGACATATTAGGCCTCCAGAAATGTTTGTGGGATGGACGGACTTTTAAACTTTAAAAGTCAAAAACCTGGTTTCTACTTCTGTTTAATAGAAAAGCTAGTGTCGCCTGTTTATTGTATCACAAGTGCTTACCAAATGCCTTTCAGTACATCAGTTAAAATAGATGATATTTCTCTGTCTTTAAGAATAGTGCAGAGCCCTAGCCATTTAACCCCAGAGAGGAAAACCTTGTATTATCATTCTGGAGCAGTCTCATTTTGTTTTCTAATTGGGTGGTGCTCCCTTTACTCCAATACCCAGTCACACTGGATGGCTAGTGAAATCAATTTAAGACGCTGACAAGGATATAAATCAAATCCCAGGCCTCTTGAAAATTATTGAGATAGTAGGAAGTTTGTATTTCTAAGTTCTTCTCCTCGAACCTAAATATCATCTAGTCTGAAGCCTTTTGATGCTGGAGCTCCTGCATTGGTTTCTTTCCCCACCCATAGCATCGCTCATTTAGTGGGGTGCCGCGGTGTTGCTTTCGCCTGTGGCTAAGTTTTATTTGCAGCTGTGTATTTTTATATGATTGCTTACACTGTGAAGATGTAAATTACTTTCGGGTATGCTCAATAACACTTTTTAAAAAATTCACACAGATTTGTGGTTCCATAATCTCGGTGAATACACCAAGGATAGCTGTTTGTTCTTTTTCTGATATTGAAAATATAATAGATGGTGTGATAAGGCCAGCTTCATTAATTCATTTATAAGTACTATAATATAATAGTTAATTTGTCCATACATAGCCTCCAATTATCTCCCCAATTCCTGGTAATAGCCACAAGCCCATCTTTCATTTTTATCACCTCTCAGTTAATTGCACTAATAGGTTTTGCTTTCCATTTCTACATGATTTTCATTAGAAAAAGTGGCAAATGTTAACTCTTACTGCTTTTTAGTCAGTAAGCATTGCAGGCTTTTTAATCAGAGATGAACAAGGAAAATGAATTTTTAAAACTTTCGTGTAAATGTGCTTGCTAGCCTCAAAATTCCAGATGACTACTTCTAACTTTTACTTTTTTAGAAAAGAAGAGGCTTATTTGGGACCAATAAATTCTGCCAGGTAAGGAATATTGGTAGCTAGAACTATGTGGGGTTTTCTTTTTTTCCTTAAAAAGAAAACAACAACAACAACAAAAACACTTCTCTAGCATTATTTACCAATGAATCACAATTTTCTCAATCCATAGATAGCTTTCTTGTGCAATCTGAATGAACATGAGCTAATTTAATATGAGTATTTACAAGGTACTTGTTCATTTAAAAGTGATACAAACATTTTAATAGAGAGGTTTGAAAACACTTGTTTAGTTTTAATAATCAAATGTCTAGGAGACAGCCAAGAAAACTCTTACTGTCATTAATTGCAATATCTCCAATAATTTTCCTGAGTATTCTCCATATGAGATTATTATGATATGTATATATAGTCTTGACTGTACTAAATTGAACCACTTGCAAAGATCACATTTTAGGATTTATGAGAATGTTTTTGTTTTTATTCACCCTAAAAACTGGTGATTGAATAAAAGAATTACTGTTGGCTTAGTTCTATGTATCTCATAATTACAGAGGACTGACATGCATTAGTAGAAGAAAAAAATGTTAATAGAAATTAACATCATAATTATTATTTTCATCTAACTTGTTGAGTATTGTAGGACTGCTAAGAAAAGTATTCAGGATTTTATCACTTAACACTTTTTTTTTAAGATTTTATCTATTTATTTGAGAGAGGGAGACAGATAGCTAGAGAGAGAGGGTGAGAAAGAGGGAGAGAGTGCAGGAGCGGGAAGGAGAGGGAGAAGCAGGCTCCCCACTGAGCAGGGAGCCAAAAGCTGGGCTCCATCCCAGGACCCTGGAGTCATGACCTGAGCTGAAGGCAGACACTTAACCGCTTAACTGACTGAGCCACCCAGGCGTCCCTCACTTAATACTTTGAAAAGGAAGAGGGAGAGCTCTGAAAACCTTCTCTATATTCGTCCATGTCTGGATCCCACTGAAATGACTCAGGTACCTGTAGTTACTGTGTTAAATGGTAAACACTCCAAATATCAGCTAGATGGTATCTGTTTCAAGGTATCAGCTGAATTGGCAAGTGGAACAATCTTTTTTAGACAATTTAAAGCTTTCTTTAAAACTAAATCGGGTTCCCCAAAATGACATTTTAATAAAAAATGTAATTATAGAATACTGTGATAAACAGCAAAGAAAGACAAAAGAGATTTAGTTGGGCGGGGGGAGTGGATCTTTTCCTGAAATAGCTGTAAAGAAAAAAAAAGAATCAAATGGAAAATAGAGAAAATCTATTCCAAGTGAGAAACATAGGGGATAAAATTTTTACATGATTAGGAGTAAGTTGTTCAAAGGATGAAAGGCAGCAAGAGTTAATAACAGGTGACAAGGAATGGGGTGAAAGGGCTGTGTTTATTTAGTTAATTTTATAAGGATGAATAAGATTGTGTATATAAAGTAGAGAAGCCAATTCTGGTAAGAGTTTCTTGAAGGAACCTCCTCAGTTTACTTTTCGGAGAGAAGATGGCTGGGAACTTGGCCTGTCTTTGTATCTGGAGTGCTCATCCACAATTCACCTTTGAGGACAGATTGCTCCCAGCCTTGGGAACACTAGGGATATTTTCAGGCTGATGTGGTGCAGATGTGAGATTTAAGTAGAAAAAAGCTGTATTTGGAGTTATTTAAGAAATTATATAGTCAGCTAACAATTTTAAAAACGTAAGAGGGATGTTTATATTCTAGGTCATATTGGAGCTGTCAGCAGATGTCTTGGTTTACTAAAAACTTGGAACTAGACTATTTTAGATGTGCCTTTTGCCTATGTTCCTATACTGTGGTATGGGAATAAGAATATATGCATTTATTTTAGATAATGAAAGTTTTAATTTTTTATGTTAATTTTCAATCTTTTTAAAATGAGTAATAGAAAAGAAGACATTAAACCTATGATTTCATGAATATTATTACTCTGTTTTTAAAAAGTCAATTTTAGTTTGATTTAAAGAAAAAAATAAGTAAATAATAATAACATAATACATGGCTATGGCAAAAGTAATGAAAGCAGCATGCAGAAAACTGGTGTTTGGGAAATATTGAGATAGTTTTATCCTTGTAGTTCATACATAACCAGTAAGTATTTTTCAGAGCCTGAGAACAGAAAATATCTCAATAAAATGCTCTCAATTTTTAACTTTAAAAAACAATGTACTTTTTTTCATCCTGCCAATATAGTTAGCCTATTTTATTTTTAATCCCGTTCAAACTGCTTTGCCATCTCTAGTAACAATCAGAAAGGGTAGTTTCATGTTTTACAAAGGGGTCAATGAGACTTAAGTGTATCCATTTGTGAGCAAACTAAAAAAGTGAACTAAAGTTTTATTTTCTGAACTTTTGAGATTTTCTTTGCCCATAGAGGGTTTTTTAAATTCTCATTAAGTGCACTTAATACATCAATTATGACCTTGAACAAAAGAAATCCCCAGATTTTCCAGTAAGGATATTTTTACATTTAATAGTTAAAAATAATACTCTTAACAATTTTTTTCTTTTTTATGTTTTAAATTATCACATATAAAATTGACTTTTTGGGAGTATATATAGTTCTAAAAATTTTAACATGTGTAAATTTGTGTAACAACCACTACCGTCAGGATATAGTTCTGTCACTCCAGAACATTCCCCTCTTCAAATTTTTGTCCTGTGTAGTGGGAGTACATTGTCCTGTCATCTCTCTTAAACTCATAGCAAAAAAATAGGCTATACTACTAATCAGTAATTCTGTCATCCACACTCTTTTCTAATATACTTCAATTCTTCTAATTGCTAATTTTATATTTTGTTAATTTATACTCCTGATCAAGGATAGTATTCATTTGTCCTCTCTACCAAATATCATCAACTAATCCAATCCAAACTCTAACCTCAGAAGATCTCCTGATGGTTTCAGCGGATCTGTCCTTGTTCATGTTTATGTGTTTATAAGTAATGCTTTGTTCATCATTCACATTGTTTTTGGAACTGCCAGTTGTCTGATGTTAATGCTGGAGATTATCTGGAGTATGAAAGAGAATCACTGCTCTGTCTCTCTTTTTATAGGCTCTGCAGATAGTGTTCTTTCTTACCCAAGTATTTTCATGGCATTATGCCATAGTTTTTCTATGGTTGAGTACTTTCATCACCATATATTTTTCTGAATATGTATGGAACATGCAAACCAAAGGAAGGAAAGTCATAGGTTATAAGTTAAAACTTTACTTTTTAAAATTTTTTAAAGATTTTATTTATTTATTTGACACAGAGAGAGAGAGACAGTGAGAGAGAGAACACAAGCAGGGGGAATGGGAGAGGGAGAAGCAGGCTTTGCGCTGAGCAGGGAGCCCAATGTGGGGCTTGATCCCAGGATCCTGGGATCATGACCTGAGCCAAAGGCAGACGCTTAATGACTGAGCCACCCAGGCACCCCAAAACTTTACTCTTTTTTTAAATTTAGATTCAATTAGCCAACATCAGTTTCAGATGTAGTGTCAATAATTCATCAGTTGCATATAACAACCAGAGCTGCTCACATCACGTGCCCTTCTCAATGCCCATCACCCAGTTACCCCATCCCTCCACCCACCTCCCATCCAGCAATTCTCAGTTTGCTTCCTAGAGTTGAGTCTCTCATAGTTTTTCCCTCTCTGATGACTTCCCACTCAGTTTTCCCTCCCTTCCCCTGTGATCCTCTGTACGATTTCTTATATTCCACATATGAGTGAGATCATATGATAATTGTCTTTCTCTGATGGACTTATTTCACTCAGCATAATACCCTCCAGTTCCATCCACATCAATGTAAATGGTAAGTATTCATCCTTTTTGATGGCTGAGTAGTATTCCATTGTGTCTATCTATCTATCTATCTATCTATCTATATATATATATATACATCTTTATCACATATTCTTTATATATATATATATACACATATGTATATATATATATATATGTATATACCCCACATCTTCTTTATCCAGTCCTCTGTTGATGTACATCTCAGCTCTTTCCACAGTTTGGCTGTTGTGGACATTGCTGCTATGGATATTGGGGTGCAGGTGCCCCTTGAGATCACTACATTTTTTTCCATTGGGTAAATACCTAGTAGTGCAATTCCTGGGTCGTAGGATAGCTCTATTTTTAACTTCTTGAGTAATCTCCATACAGTTTTCCAGAGTGACTGCACCAGTTTGCATTCCCACCAACAGTATAAAAGGGTTCCCCTTTCTCTGCATCCTCATCAACATTTGTTGTTTCCCGACTTGATAATTTTAGCCATTCTGACTGGTGCGAGGTGGTATCTCATTGTGGTTTTGTTGTATTTCCCTGATGGCAAGTGACGTGGAGCATTTTTTCATGTGTCTGTTGGCCATTTGGATGTCTTCTTTGGACAAATGTCTGTTCATGTTTTCTGCCCATTACTTGACTGGATTCTTTGTTTTTCTGGTGTTGACTTTGATAAGTTCTTTATAGATCTTGGATTCTAGCCCTTTATCTGATATGTCATTTGCATATATCTTCTCCCATTCCGTAGGTTGTCTTTTATTTTTGTCGACTGTTTCCTTTGCTGTGCAAAAGCTTTTTATCTTGATGGAGTCCCAATAGTTCATTTTTGCTTTTGTTTCCCTTGCCTTTGTAGACATGTCTAGCAAGAAGTTGCTGCGGCTAAGGTCAAAGAGGTTGCTGCCTATGTTCTTCTCTAGGATTTTGATAGATTCCTGTCTCACGTTTAGGTCTTTCCTCCATTTTGAGTCTATTTTTGTGTGTGGTGTAAGGAAATGGTCTAGTTTCATTCTTCTGCGTGTGGCTGTCCAATTTTCCCAACACCATTTGTTGAAGAGACTGTCCTTTTTCCATTGGATATTCTTTCCTGCTTTGTCGAAGCTTAGTTGACCATAGAGTTGAGGAGCCATTTCTGGGTTCTCTATTCTGTTCCATTGATCTATGTGTCTGTTTTTGTGCCAGTACCATGCTGACTTGATGATTACAGCTTTGTAATATACCTTGAAGTCTGGCATTGTGATGCCACCCGCTTTGGTTTTCATTTTCAACATTCCTCTGGCTATTCGGTGTCTTTTCTGGTTCCAAACAAATTTTAGGATTATTTGTTCCAGCTCTGAGAAAAATGTCAAAGGTATTTTGATAGGGATTACATTAAATGTGTAGATTGCTCTGGGTAGCATAAACATTTTAACAATATTTATTCTTCCAATCCATGAGCATGGAATATTTTTCCATTTCTTTGTGTCTTCCTCAATTTCTTTCATAAATGTTCTGTAGTTTTTAGAGTATACATCCTTTACGTCTTTGGTTAGGTTTATTCCTAGGTATCCTCTGGGTTTTGGTGCAATTATAAATGGGATCAGCTCCTTAATTTCTCTGTCTTCTGTCTCATTGTTAGTGTATAGTAATGCAACTGATTTCTGTGCATTGATTTTATATCCTGCCGTGTTGCTGAATTGCTGTGTGAGTTCTAGCAATTTTGGGGTGGAGTCTTTTGGGTTTTCCACATAGAGTATTATGTCATCTGCGAAGAATGAGAGTTTGACTTCTTCTTTGCCAATTTGAATGCCTTTTATTTCTTTCTGTTGTCTGATTATAAAAGAAAGGATAAGAACCATATGATCCTCTCAATTGTTGCAGAAAAAGCATTTGACAAAATACAATAGAGTGAGCGATAGAGTGGCTAATATCTTTTCTTGATTAAAACTCTCCACAGTGTAGGGATAAAGGGAGCATACTTCAATATCTTAAAAGCCATCTATGAAAAGCCCACAGCAAATATTCTCTGTGGGAAAAACTGAGAGCTTTTCCCCTAAGGTCAGGAACACGACAGGGATGCCCACTCTCACCACTGTTGTTCAACATAGTACTAGAAGTCTAGCCTCAGCAATCAGACAACAAAAAGTCAAAACTTTACTTGCTCAATATCTAGACAAAGGTTGCATGTTAATCAATCTGCTATGGGTTTTTGAGTGTACAATTGTGACATGCATTTCAAGTAAGATGGATTTCAATTTATAGTGCATGAAACATAATAAATTATTTTAAAATAAAGATCAGTAGTTTCTATGTTGTGATATGAGCCTGTCATTTATAACTTTGCCATAAATCAAAAATTGAGAAACTGAAATATATGTGTAATAACTGTCATAGGTTATTTCAGACCATCTTACATATCATCACCTCATATAGGGAAAACATTAACAAGTGAATTTGCACCCTGACCTTTGGATCTTAAGTTTTCTTGTTTTATGATTCTTTCAGGTTTTTTCAAGGTTCCTTATATAGGTATAAGATTTCTTGAGATGATGTGATTCTCCTGTGATTTGGCAGGGGGGGGTGGTGTATTTCAAACCAGTTTTTTGTTCTTGTTTTTAATTCCTGGAAACAAATACCTCACTATTGAATAAGATTCTTTATTATCCCTCTTTGGGAGCTAAAATTTAAAACCTTAAGGAATAATACAGCTACTTTTACCTGCTCATCCTACTGTCTATCCTTTGAAGCTGTACACTGACTATTTTATCATTTGCTCTTCAGATGGATCCTGTGCAAAAAGCAGTCATTAACCACACTTTTGGAGTATCCATTCCCCCAAAGAAGAAACAAGTTATTTCTTGTAATGTCTGTCAGCTTCGCTTTAATTCGGATGTGAGTATCACCTTTTCCATTGCTCTCTGTAGTCTGTCAAGCTGAAAGTCTGATTGTTCTGAATATGTACATCTCTTCATATTTACATAGCCTCCAGCAGCCACTCCCATTGGTGGCCCACTTACTTCAGTGTGCCAGATTTTCCAGGGATTCAGATTCAGCATTAGAAACTTGAGCAATAGAGTGGCTAATATCAAAAATCAAGAATTCCTCTATGTAATCAATCTCACCCATATCATTTTATGCTTAATCTTGCCAATGATATTTACTTTTCAAACATTGCTAAATAGCAGGAAATATTTTTTAAAAGTTTAAAATGCAATGAATGCTGAAGAAAACTATTGCTATTTCTCTTTATAACAAGTGTCACATTTCATGTGTGTATGCCAAATCATATTAAATACCTGAGGGAATAATTTATTACACAATTTATATTTCCCCAGAACATGGAAATGCAGGGAAACTCTTACAAATTATTTTATCTGGCCAGCATAACCATCATGCTAAAAAAGATAACAAGAAAAGGGTATAAATCATTTATTAAAGTAGAGTTTTAAATGTAGGAGTAAGATAACATGAAATTAAAGTAAATAATATTAGAATGTTTGTAATACTCAATTACCAAGTAAAGCCAATGACCGATGCAAATCTGAATCTGGAGCTATATATTATATGTGTTGTTTCCTGAGTTACTCCACCTCAGAAGCCATCTTCCAAAGAACATGTTCCAGGACTCATGTTTTTTTTGCAAATACTAAAACAATAAACACTCCTGTTTGCATATATCAGTAAATGTTTTGATAATTCTACATAGGAAACATAATAAAAATTATAGTCATTGGAAAAGAGTGTTTTTATCATGTTTAACATGATTTGTAGAAGTATATTTAATGCAATTTCCATCAAAAGTCCAGTGAATTTTTTTGGCACTTGATAAAATCTTTCTAAACTCCCTATTCAAGAATTAAAGTCTTCCTTAAAAAACTGAGAAATATATGGTATCAATTCATTCGAAGTCTCAACATTGCCAGCTGTCCCCAGATTCATCTACAGACCCTGCACAATTCCAATCAAAATCCCAGAAAGCATTTTTGTAGAAAATGCCAAGCTATTTATTAAATTACATAGAAAAGAAAAACCCTAGACTAGCCAAAGCTTTTTTTTTTAAAGAACAAATTTTAAGGACCTTACTCCTTGATTTCAATAATTACCTTAAAAACTACAGCAATCAAGACTGTAATATTGGTGAAAGAATAGTAGATACGTTGATCAGTGGAACAGAATAGAGTCCAGAAATAGACCTAAAGCTATATGGTCAGTCGATCTTCAGCAAAGTTGCAGTGACAATTCAATGGAGAAAGGTTAATCTTTGCAACAAATAAGTGTAATTGGATAACCACATGTAAATTTAGAAAAAGTACCTTGACGGCTGTTTCACACAAAATTCCAAAATTAACTCAAATGGATTATTTTTTTTTAAGATTTTATTTATTTGACAGAGCAAGAGAGGAGAAGCAGGGGGAACAGTAGAGGGAGAGGGAGAAGCAGGCTCTCCGCCAAGCAGGGGGCACAGGGCTGGGCTCGATCCCAGGGCCCTGAGATCATGACCTGACCCGAAGGCAGACACTTAACCATCTGAGCCACCCAGGCGCCCCTCAAATGGATTATATATATAACTATAAACTGAAAAGTAAAAAACTTTAAGAAGAAAACACAGGAAGAACTCTATGTGACCTTGAATTAGGCAAAAGATTTCTTAGGAAACAAAAAGTATGAACTATAGGGGCACCTGGGTGGCTCAGTCTGTTAAGCATCCAACTCTAGATTTTCGCTCAGGTCATGACCCAGGGTCGTGGGATCGAGCCCCACATTGGGCTCTGGCTCAATGTGGAGTCTGCCTGTCCCTCTTCCCCACTCCCTCAAATTAATTAATTAATTGATTAATTAATTAATTAAAATCTTTTTTTAAAGTATGAACTATAAAAATATTGATATATTAGACATCATCAAAATTAAAAACTTCTCTTCAAATGACACTGTTATACTGTTAAGAAAATGAAAAGAAAAGTTACAGACTAGGAGAAAATAATATAAAACATGTCTTATATACAAAATATTTAAATAACTTACAACTCAATAATTAATAATAAGTGGGCAAATGATTTGAAGAGGCATTTTACCAAAGAAGAAAAATGAATGACAAATAAGTATGCAAAACAGTGTTCAATATCATTAGCCATTAAGGAAGTGCAGGCCACAATTAGATACCCCTCCACCTATTAAAATGATGGAAATTAAACAAATTGATAATACCAAGTGACAAGGATGAAGGGCAACTGGAACTCTCATTTGTTGTTGGTACAAATACAAAATGGTGCAGGGACTTTGGAAAATGGTTTAATAGTTATTTGTAAGAAATTTTTAGGAAGTTTAGATACATTTTCCATACAACCCAGCAATCCAGCTTTTAGGTATTTATCTAGGAGAAATGAAAACTTATATTTGTACATATGTGTCACTTATAAAGCTACTGCTTTATAAGTGACACATATGTACAAATATAAGTTTGTATATATGTGTATATATATATGACCCAGTTGGGTCAAACTGGAATTGACCCAAATGTCTATCAGCTGATGAGTGGATCAACAAACAAAATATAGTCATACAATGGAATACTGCTTAGCAATAAAAGAAATAATGTACTGATAACATCCTACACAATGGGAGAATCTCAAAGACAGTATGCTAAATGAAAGAAATTGGACGCAAAGACTATGTACTATATGATTTTGCTTATATAACTTTCTGCAAAAGACAAAACTATGGGAGCAGAAATCAGATCAGTAGTGAACAAGGCCTGAGGGTGAAGTTAGGGAATCAACTACAAAGGGCGTAAGGGGTATGAGGGAGCTTTTTCAAGCGATGAAAATATTCTATATCTTCATTTTTGTGGTGGTGACACAACTGTTTTGTTTTTCAAAATTCATACAACTAAATACCTCAAAAGGAATTTTACTTACATAAAGTATACCCCAGTAACCCTGACTAGAAAAAAAAATCAGCATGATAGGAGCCATGAAATATTTTGTAAGTAGAAGACTAATTAATGGTAGAGACATACATACTAACTAAATTGAGCTACAATATTACTACTCAATTTAAGGTATAATAATTAAAGAACTTTTACAAGAAAAGACAGAATAATAAATGCTAGAATAGATCCAAGTATATTTAATAGTTTTGCATAGTTATTATCCAAATTTCTACAGTCATATAGCAAGTCTTCTGCTCTATATTTTTATGAGTCCATACATTGAGAAGCCATGCGGTATAGAATCTTGGATTAAGAGTCCCTGAAGGTGATTTAAATACTAATTTTGAACTTGATAAATCACTTCACCACTGTGGGCCTCAGTTTCCTCTTCTGTTATAACCTAAAATAGACTACATGATCTTTGAGAGGACCATTCCAGCTCTATGATTAAATCATTTCCATGGCATTTCTGTTAGAAGGAACACTACATTGGGCACCTGGGTGGCTCAGTTGGTTAAGCGACTGCCTTCGGCTCAGGTCATGATCCTGGAGTCCCAGGATCGAGTCCCGCATCGGGCTCCCTGCTCAGCGGGGAGTCTGCTTCTCCCTCTGACCCTCCCCCCTCTCATGTGCTCTCTCTCTCTCTCATTCTCTCTCTCAAATAGATAAATAAAATCTTTAAAAAGAAAAAATAAAAAAAATAAGGAACACTACATCAAAAAAATTTAATTAATTAAAAAAAAAAAGGACAGGGTATACAGCAATTGCCCTACTAGGTATTTACCCAAAGATACAAATGTAGTGATCCAAAGGGGCACCTGCACCCCAGTGTTTATAGCAGCAATGTCCACAATAGCCAAACCAGAGATAGAACCCAGATGTCCACTGACAAATGAATGGATAAAGAAGATGTGGTACACACACACACACACACACACACACACACACACACACAATAGAATACTACTCAGCCATCAAAAAAATGAAATCTTGCCATTTGCAACAGATGGAACTAGAGGGTATTATGCTAAGCAAAATAAGTCCATCAGAGAAAGACAAGTATCATATGATCTCACTCGTATGTGGAATTTAAGAAACAAAACAGAGGGTCATAGGGGAAGAGAGGAAAAAAATAAAACAAGACGAAATCAGAGGAGACAAACCATAAGGAGACTCTTCATCATAAGAAACAAACTGAGAGTTCCTGGAGGGGAGGGAGTTTGAGGGCTGGGGCAACTGGGGGATGGACATTAAGGAGGGAACGTGATGTAATGAGCACTGGGTATTATATATGATGGATGAATCACTGACCTCTACCTCTGAAACCATCAATACATTATATGTTAATTGAATTTAAGTTAAAAAATTTAAAAATAAATAAATAATTGAATTTAAGTTAAAAATTTATAAATAAATAAATAAATGAAGGACAAGGTATTATTACCTCCACCTTACAGGTGGAATAAGTAAGACCCAAAAAGAATGACCAAGAGTTTTGTTTTTCATTTGTGTCAGGGTTGGGTTATGGGGAGGTGTGCCGGCCTTCTGTCTGTGCCCCAGAATCGCTCAGGAGTATGTTCACCTTTGACTTGAGTTTCATTTGATGTCAGTGATTTTCTTTGTATTTACTAACAGGGACGTGGAGAAACGTACACAGGTGAGCATGTGACCGCCAGCTTCCTTGTCACCGCTCAAAATTTCTGTTGATAATGGAGAAAGAAATTAAATTTCTCAGTCATGCTTAGACTCTGGGCAGTAAAGCCACAAAGTCTGGATGGCAAATTCACAAGTGTGACATATACATGTTTTCAGTGTTTAGTAATGGTGCTATAATCTGCACAGCTGAGCTCTGAAACTGAGCATTTTTTTATTTGGGGGAGAGTTTATTATTTTATAATTACCCTATTTACATTTTAATGTAAGAATTAAGAAGATGCTCATCCTTATTTTCTTTAATAACATT